CACCTTCCGTGAATGGCACCAATGAGAAATGAAGTTCTCTGTTTGTAACCCAAATAAGCAACTAAGCCACTTTTGAATCATTTTCTCAATCAGATCATTTTTTTTAAAAAAAGTCTTGTAGCCTTGTCTTTTCTAAATGCATTATTTTAGTGGTTTGTGGCAAGTATTTATATTCTTGGGCTGTTGTTTGGGTCAAGATAGTAATAGGACTTCTATCTCAGGCAATGTGACAGATGAGATTGCTTGAAAAGCTTATTAACATAACACTTAAAACTGCTGGACAAAATATAACAAACATCTTTTTTTTTTTTTTTCGAGACTGAGTTTCGCTCTTGTTACCCAGGCTGGAGTGCAATGGCGCCATCTCGGCTCACCGCAACCTCCGCCTCCTGGGTTCAGGCAATTCTCCTGCCTCAGCCTCCTGAGTAGCTGGGATTACAGGCACACGCCACCATGCCCAGCTAATTTTTTGTATTTTTAGTAGAGACGGGTTTTCACCATGTTGACCAGGATGGTCTCGATCTCTTGACTTCGTGATGCACCCGCCTCGGCCTCCCAAAGTGCTGGGATTACAGGCGTGAGCCACCGTGCCCGGCCCAGCAAACATCTTTTGAACTCTTTAGCTGACCTGTGTATGGAGTGGCAAGGATTGGTAGAAGAAAAACCCCCAAGGATCGCCACCCCAACACACACACACAAAGAAGGAAAATAAAAAACAGAATTGTCACTAACTGATTCTTCATTTATCATTTTCCTTGGGGAGGATATTGATTGTCTCACAAACAAGAGCTGGAGAAGTGTCATGGGGCCCACCAGGCAGAGTTGGAACTGAGACCTCACCGTAAAGCTGGATGCTTCAGAGAGCTCCACCCTTAGTAAAGGTGTGATTAGAACCAGTTTATCCTTCAGCAGTGGGAGACATCTAGGAAGCTAGTCAGCTGCAGTGTGGGGGAGAAAACCTTTCTCCTGAGAATTCTTTTTTTTTTTTTTTTTTTTTGAGACGGAGTTTCGCTCTTTTTACCCAGGCTGGAGTGCAATGGTGCGATCTCGGCTCACCGCAACCTCCGCCTCCTGGGTTCAGGCAATTCTCCTGCCTCAGCCTCCTGAGTAGCTGGGATTACAGGCACACGCCACCATGCCCAGCTAATTTTTTGCACTTTTAGTAGAGATGGGGTTTCACCATGTTGACCAGGCTGGTCTCGATCTCTTGACCTCGTGATCCACCCGCCTCGGCCTCCCAAAGTGCTGGGATTACAGGCTTGAGCCACCGCGCCCGGCCTCTCCTGAGAATTCTTAACCTTAGATGAGTTCTCAGGCTGGTCTGAGACATGCTAAAGCAAGATGTTAACCGTAGAGTTTACTGTTTTTGGGGACCCAGAAAGATGTAAATGTTAAACATCTCTGAGTCGAACATCTTTGACTCCTATAATGGTCAAATTACCTAACAATTAGATAAGAAAAGATGTTTTAAGTAAGTAAAAAAAAAAAAAAGAAAAAAATGCTTGTTCATGATAAACCCTCAGAAAACCAGGGAATAGTAGGAAATTTACTCAGTTTAGAATAAATTGAGGATAACTATAAGGAACCTACAGCCAGTACCATTCTTAAAAGGTGAAATAGAGAATGCATTCCTCTTACGATCAGGAGCAAGATAAGGATGTCAGCTCTTACCCCTTTTAGTCAACTTTGTACATACTAGAGTTTTTGCCAGTGCAATAAAGCAAGAAAAAGAAATAAAAGGTATAAATATTGAAAAGAGTAGGTCTGCCTTTATTAGCAGGTGACATCACTGCATCCAGAGAAAACCCAAAGGATTTACAAACTACCAGAACTAATAATGAAGCAAGGGAATAAAATACAAGGTCAATATACAAAATCAATACTTCTATATATGTATCAGTTTCCAGGGTCTGCTTTAACAAATTGTCACAAATTTCATGGTGTTTAGAAACACTAACTTACTATCTTACAGTTATTATTTATTAATTAATTATTTTTTTTTTTTGAGATGGAGTCTCACTCTGTCACCCAGGCTGGAGTGCAAGGGCATGATCATGGCTCACTGCAACCTCCGCTTCCTTGGTTCAAGTGATTCTCCTGCCTCAGCCTCCTAATCGGCTGGGATTATAGGTATGTACCACCATGCCCAGCTAATTTTTGTAATTTTTAGTAGATAAGGGGTTTTACTATGTTGGCCAGGCTGGTCTCGAACTCCTGACCTCAAATGATCCTCACACCTTGGCCTCCCAAAGTGCTAAGATTACAGGTGTGAGCCACTGTGCCTGGTCCCTATCTTACAGTTCATGAGATCAGAAGTCTGAAAGGGGTCTTGCTGAGCTAAAATCAAGGTGTTAGCAGGGCTGCCTTCATATCTGGAGGCTCTAGGAGGGAATCTCTGTTTTTTGCCTTTTCTGGTTTCTGGAGGCTGTCTCATAGTCCCCTTTCATGTTCAAAGGCAGTTCTCACATTGTGTGACTCTGATACTGTGACATTGACTGTGCCTTCTTCCACATTTAAGAACCCTTATCATTACGTTGGGCCCACCCAGATAATGCAGAATAATCTTTCTGTTTTAAGGTTCCTTGATTAGCAACGTTAATTCCATCTGCAATTTCAAATCCTCCTTGCCATATAATGTAACATATTGATAGGTTCTAGGGATTAGGACATGGACATTTTTGGAGGTGGGCTTTTTCACGTATTACAATTTACTGTCACGTGGAAAATGAAATTTGAAAATGCTGTATGTAACAGTGTCACAAAATAAAATACCTATGAATAAATTTAATTTAAAATGTACAAGGCTGCTATACTGAAAACTAGAAAATATTGTAGAAAAAAATTTTTTTTAAAGATTTAAATTAATGGAGATATAGATCATATTATTCATGGATTGGGAAACTCAGTACTTTATGATATCAATTCCTGAAAATATCTGTAGGTGCAATGCAATCCTAATCAAAATCTCAACATGTTTTTTTCGTAGAAATTGGCAAGCCAATTCTACAATTTTTTTTTTTTTTTTTTTTTTTTTTTTTTTTTTTTTTTTTTTTTGAGACGGAGTTTCGCTCTTGTCACCCAGGCTGGAGTGCAATGGCATGATCTCGGCTCACCGCAACCTCCGCCTCCTGGGTTCAAGCAATTCTCCTGCCTCAGCCTCCTGAGTAGCTGGGATTACAGGCATGCACCACCATGCCCAGCTAATGTTTTGTATTTTTAGTAGAGACGGGGTTTCACTATGTTGACCAGGATGGTCTCGATCTCTCGACCTTGTGATCCGCCCGCCTCAGCCTCCCAAAGTGCTGGGATTACAAGCTTGAGCCACCGCGCCCGGGGCCAATTCTAAAATTTATGTTGCAGTGCAAAGGACCCCTAACTGCAAAGACAGTCTTGAAATCAGAACTTACTTTACCTGATTTCGAGATTTACTAGAAAGCTACAGCAGTAATTAAGCCAATGCGATAGTGACATAAGGATAGACAAGTAAATAGAGCAAAACACAGTCTTGAGATAGATCCACATACACATGGTCAATTGAATTGTGACAGACGTGCCAATGCAATTCAATAAGGAGAGGGAATATTTTTTTAACCAAAGGCTCTGGAGCAACTGGATAAACATATGGAAAATGGAATTGAAAGCAGGAGAAAGGATTAAAGATAAAATACAAAAAGACGAGGACAGCTTGGCTAGTGTTGGGGGAGTTGGAAGGGCTTGAATGGCAGAATGAAACAAGATTCACTGCGTTTCAGTGGGGCTTCCTTCTGCCAGCTTTGTAAAGCAGTATCCTCCATTCCTCTCTGCCACTCTTTGAGCTGTAGGCTGGTGTGCTAAGCAGAATTCTAAGATGGACCCCAAGATTCCCACCCCCTGGAGTACATACCTTGTACAATTCTCTCCCCTTGAGCGTGGAGGAGTCTGTTAATTTGATGGTATAGTTACTATGGTGATTACCTTCCGTCACTTAAGACTCCATCATGGGTGACTTGGAGAGGGGAGGGTTGGAAGTCAGAGGGACGTGCTCCACATTGCCTGGAGGAAAACAAACGTGCATGTTGTGAAGTGCCTATGTGGTCCACACTGCAGGGAGCTGCAGGCAGCCTCTAGGAGCTGAGAGTAGTCCTCTGCAGACAGCTGGCAAGTAAACAGGGACCTCCTTCCTACAGCCCTAGGCAACTGAATTCTGCCACCAATCTGAATGAGCTTGGAAGGGGACCCCAAACCTCAGATGAGAGCCGTAACCCCAACCATCACCTTGACTGTGGCCTCGTGAGAGCTGAGCCGACGATGCAGCTAAGCTGTGCCTACGCTCCTGGCCTATGGAAACTGAGAGAATGGATTTCCATCATTTTAAGCCACTGATTTTGTGGTACTCTGTTACCCAGCAATAGAAAATGAATGCAGATGGCAGGTCTGTCCCAGCTGCAAATGCCATCCTGCACAGGACCAATTTCAATTTCTCTCTTCATACGTGCCTTAGGAATTGGTCTTCCCAGGACAGACAGCCAAGCTGTTTGGACATGGTTGAAGTGGATAACACCCACCACCACTGAGGATGTGAAAGGTCCATTTGGGGTGAAAGGAATTAATATTTCTCTGAGTCTGGGATCCTCGATCTAATCAAACGTTCCAAGTAGAGTAGAAAGCCCAGATCCTTCTCACAGAGTGTACTGAGCTGAGCTTTCAAAACTGGGGTTCAGGGCTGACCTTTGGAGTACTGAAAACCAGGCATTTGCTATAGTGGTCGTACCTGTGGAGGAAACCTGCAGTAAGATGGTACCGTGGAGACTTGGGAGTTCATTCATAGCAGATCAATTCTGGTCCGTTTGCTGGGGGCATGGTGGCCAGTGGAAACCTGATCAGGCTGGACCTTCGTGTCTCAGAACCAAGGCACTGTTGAATCTGACAGTTTGGGCATTTTAATATCTGCAGTAAGTTAACCTGGGAAAGCAGGGCGGATATGCAAAACCAGTTACATCCTTTCCCTTTCTTCATTGCAGAATCAAAATTACAAGGGCCATGGATTGTCAAAGGGAAAAGAACGGTGAGTGGTCCCATCCAATCCAACAATCACAGAGCAACCAACCTCCCTCCCTCCCTCCCTCCCTCCCTCTTTTTCTTCCCTCCTCCCCTTTTCAATTCCTCTCTCGCCTTTCTACTTTAATAATTATAATGAAAATGATGGTAGTAATAGTAATCCTAAACCATTATTGAGCACTTACTATGTGCCAGGCTGTGAGCCCAGCACTTTACCTGTATTAGTTCACTGAACTCTGACCACAGCACTTTGAAGTAGATACTACTATTGTGTCCATTTTACAGATGGGGAAACTGAAGCTCAAAAAGGCCAAGTGACTCGCTCAAGATCACATGATCAGTTAGGGACAGAGTTTGTTGGACTCCAGGACCCACTGTCTAACTTTGGTCTCTCCTGCCTCCAACAACCCTGTGATGACTTGATGACTTGCATGTCAGCTGTGCTCTGATCATCTGCTTCACTTTGCGTCGACAACCTGGATGCCGAACTCAGCACCCCTTTGGATCTCCTAAAGAGAATCCACTTGCACAAAGCGGGAGTGAGCAATGTAGACTTTATTGAAGAGCCCTGTGGGAAGTTAGAGGAGCTTGTTTACATAGCAGATGTTTTAGATAGTCTATTCTCTAGTACATTAGCTATTTCTCTTCTTTTTAAAACTCCTGCTGGCTATACCACCACTGAGGAGGGCATGTGTGATTTGGGACGCTTCTCTCATGCAGCACTCACCCTGTTTGCCTGCTTTCTCTCCATACTGACTATCCCACCCATTTCATATCTCATTCTCTTATGCAGTGCAACTCAGCAATGTTCCGGATCCTGGCCCTAAACATATATGCCCAGCCTAGCCCCATCCCAACAAAACAAAGAGCACCCCGCTTAACAGGCCTGTGTTAGGCTGTTTTTGCATTGCTATAAAGGAATACCTGAGACTTTTAATTTTTATATATTTTTTGAGACAGAGTTTTGCTCTCGTTGCCCGGGCTGGAGTGCAGTGGCGTGATCTCGGCTCACCGTAACCTCCGCCTCCCGGGTTCAAGCAGTTCTCCTGCTTCAGCTTCCCGAGTAGCTGGAATTACAGGTGTCGCCCACCATGCCCGGCTACTTGAGACTGTGTCGTTTATAAAGAAAAGAGGTGTAATTGGTTCATGGTTCTGCAGGCTGTACAAGCATGGCACCAGCATCTGCTCAGCTTCTGGTGAGGCTTCAGGGAGCTTACAATCATGGTGGAAGGCAAAGGGGGAGCAGGCACTTCACATGGCAAGAGTTGGAACTAGTGGGAGGTCCAGGCTCTTTTAAATAACCAGATCTCCCATGAACTGAGTGAAAACTCGCTTGTCACCGAGGGGATGTTGCCAAACCATTCATGAGGGATACATTCCCAGGATCTAATCACCTCCCACCAGACCCCACCTCCAAAATTGAGAATCACATTTTACCTTGAGATTTGGAGGGGACAAACATTCCAAACCATATCAAGGCCCCGTATACTTATTTTATAAAGGCACACACACAAACACACACACATTTATCATAAAATACTTTTTATTTATGTGCCTTATTAGGGCACACATAGATAGGTGTTCCACTATCAGTAAGAGAAAACTCAGTAATAGTAGGTTAAACAAATTGTATTTATTTTCTTCACATTACAAAAAGTCTGGAGTGCTGGTACAGTGGTTCAGTAATGTCAGAGCCAGTATCTTCATGATTGTCTTTTTTTTTTTTTTTTTTTTTTTTTGAGATGGGGTCTCACTCTGTTGCCCAAGCTGGAGTGCAGTGGTGTGATCGTGGCTGCGCACAGCTGCCTTAATCTCCTGTGCTTATGCAGTCCTCCGATCTCAGCCTCCTGAGTAGCTGGGACAACAGGCTCATGCCAGTGTACCTGGCTGATTTTTTAAATTGATTTTTTGTCGTTGTGAGGTCTCACTATGTTGCCTAGGCTGGTCTCCAACACCTGGCCTCAAGTGATCCTCACCCCTTGGCCTCCCAAAGTGTTGGGATTATAGGCATGAGCCTTCATGATGGTCTTGAACTCTTCCTCCTGGAGACCAAATGGCCACTGCAGCTCCAGTCTTCATGTCATGATCAAGACAGGAAGAGCGAGGGAAGACTCAAGCCACATCTCTTTCTTTCTTTCCTTTTTTGATCGAAAGAGCAAAACTTTCCCAGGAACTTAGCCTGCCTAGCAGTCTTACGCTTTTTCTTATTGACTAGAATTGTGTTACATGGCCAACCCCAACTGCATGGGTAGCCAGGAATACAAGTTACGTAAGTGTCCTTGTACTGTGATTACTATTCTGCACCCTGCTTTTGTCACAAAGCTCTGAATGCATTGTAACGGCTACTGCTGTTTCATTGCGTATTGCTCGTTATTTATCCGTCTTCCTGTTGAAAGGCACTTACGAAGTTTCACCAGAAGCCGACCCTGAGGGAAGGAAGTGAGAGCAGATGGTTTATTTAGGAGGTGATTCCAGTGAGCACTGGCAGGGACATGGGAAAGTAAGACAGCTAAGGAAGGAAACCAGTACAAGGTGCACCATTGACAGGTTATTGCTATGGGCAAGTGGGCTCAAGCCCCCGGGGAATTCCTGGGAGAACGTAGAATGCACTGTGGTCTTATCCTGAGTGTGAGATGGGAGGCTTAGCAGATTTATCCACCGACTTCAGTCGTCACTGGTTGTATGCTGTTGGCAGAGGGGCGGTTCACTCTGGTGCTTCCCATCTGCTCCACATGCTGGCTGAGCAGACTTGGGGCCAGGGAAAGCCCTCAGGTACTGTGGCAGGTGCTGGAGGTGGAAAGCTGTTTGATTCGCATGCACAGGAGTGGTGAATGTCAAAGGGGTATGGGTGGACCACCAACAGTGTTTGCTACAGGTTATTCCTATAAAAAAATGAGCATTTACAGATAAGCATCCTTGCACATGTGTTTCCTGGTAGAAATGCAGAGTGCAAACCCAGGGTATAGAGCTGCTGACTTTAGGGTACGTGCATATTCGACTTCACTAAAATAAAAGTCGGTGGCCCTCTAAAGTGCATTCCACCAGCAGAGGAGGAGTTTCCATTTTATCCCATTTTTGCCAAAACTTGGACCTTTAGATTTTTGCTGGTCTGATGTGCATCTCATAGTCCTTGATCGTTGTAATATGCCAAATTGCTCTCCAAAGCGGTGTCCAATGTGCACTCCATTGGCATTGTAAGATAATCGTTGCCGGGCGCGGTGGCTCACGCCTGTAATCCCAGCACTTTGGGAGGCCGAGGCAGGTGTATCACGAGGTCAAGAGATCGAGACCATCCTGGTCAACATGGTGAAACCCCGTCTCTACTAAAAATACAAAAAATTAGCTGGGCATGGTGGCGCGTGCCTGTAATCCCAGCTACTCAGGAGGCTGAGGCAGGAGAATTGCCTGAACCCAGGAGGCGGAGGTTGCGGTGAGCCGAGATCACACCATTGCACTCCAGCCTGGGTAACAAGAGCGAAACTCCATCTCAAAAAAAAAAAAAAAAAAAAAAATTGTTATTTCTCCACATTCTGTTGAACACTTGGTATTTTTCTGATTTTTTTTTTTTTTTTTTTTTTTTGAGACACAGTATCACATTGTCGCCTGGGCTGGAGTGCAGTGGCATGATCTCAGCTCACTGCAACCTCCGCCTCCCGAGTTCAAGCAATTCTCCTGCCTCAGCATCCTGAGTAGCTGGGATTACAGGCACCCACCACGATGCCCAGCTAATTTTTTGGTATTTTTAGTGGAGACAGGGTTTCACCATGTTGGCCAGTCTGGTTTCGAACTCCTGACCTTGTAATTCACCCACCTTGGCCTCCCAAAGTGTTGGGATTACAGGCGTGAGCCACCACACCTGGTACATTTAAAAATGTAAGCTGATACATTTAAAAAATAAATATTAAATTATTTAAAAAGCAATAAAAGGCCAGGTACTGTGGCTCACACCTGTAATCCCAGCACTTTGAGAGGCTGAGGTGGAAGGATCATGAGGTCAGAAGTTCGAGACCATTCTGGCCAACATGGTGAAACCCCATCTCTACCAAAAAATAAAAAAATTAGTTGGGCGTGGTGGTGGGTGCATATAATCCCAGCTACTCGAGAGGCTCAGGTAGGAGAATCACTTGAATCCAGGAAGCAGAGGTTGCAGTGAGCCGAGATCGCACCACTACACTCCAGCCTGGTGACAGAGGTAGACTCTGTCTCAAATAAATAAATAAATAAAAATAAAAAGCAATGAAATACTCATTACATGGTAGCGTAAACTTTTTTTTTTTTTTTGAGACATGGTCTACTCTGTCACCCAGGCTGGAGTGCAGTGGAGTGATCTTGGCTCACTGCAACCTCCACCTCCCGGGTTCAAGTGGTTCTCCTGCCTCAGCCTCCAGAGTAGTTGGGATCACAGACTACCATGCTTGGCTCATTTTTGTATTTTTAGTAGAAATGTGGTGTCACCATGTTGGTCAGGCTGGTCTCAAACTCCTGACTTCAAGTGATTTACCCACTTTGGCTTCCCAAAGTGCTGGGATTACAGGTGTGAGCCATCGTGCCCTGCCCAACATTTTTGAGTTACAGTTATATCCCTCCCTAAAATGTACTGTAGTTGTTTTACATTTCTGTGAATCTCTTTAATGCCTTGCTTATTAGAAAATATTTGACTTTCCAGATCTTCTGTGTTCAATTTGTTTTGATAGATTGTTTTGGTCAAAGGATAGGAAGAAAATCCAGCCTTAGAAAGATAGGTAGTTGGAAAAGGGAAGACTTTGTGTACCCCTGAAAGAGAGTTGGGGACCCTGAGGAATACTTGAGCCCCCACTTGACAACTTATGGCTCTAGGGGATTACAATATGCGTCCTTACCTTATCACAGTCTACCTTGAAGCAAAATTATACCACTTCATGTACAACTAAGAACCCTAACACCCACACACTTCTGTTTACTCCCCTCTGATCTTTTGTGCTGGTATTTTTATCATATATTTACTTGTAAATATGTTATAAACCCTAC